GACATGGCTGGATGAAGGGCGTAGAGATGGAAACAGGACTTTCTCAGGGATCACCAGCCCCTGGGCTTCCATCCCTGTTCTGTTTGAACAAGCAAGAGCCGCATTTATGGTGGCTCGGATGAGAGTGATGGTGATTTGACCAGGATCCACCTTAGTGAGTGAAGCTGGCTCTGCACTGTCAGGTCAACAGTTCTGTGGACTCCTGAAGGCATGGCAGCCTCTGACCACCTCTTAGGCCCTTGAAGCCAAATCTCAGCACAGGGAAATAGGAACTTTTCTGTATTTTTTTAAAAAATACAGGCTGATTATTCTTTTTGTCTCTTTTAGGTGGTTTTTTGCACCTTCATTGTTGCATCTAAACCTTGGAAATTTGAACTCAATATGCTGAAGAAACAGTGCAAAGATGCCTAATTGTCTTCTAGCACATTCTTCCCCTCTCACTTGCATTTTAAAGAAGAAGCAAAGATACTTGCAAGACATTTAAATAACATAGCTGACACAATCCCTTCATTTTTTGTGGCCAAATTGCTTTTTTGTGTGTTCTTCAGGACTGAAGCTAAGAATGTGTGGCGCCTTTTACAGCACTGGGCAGCCGCTTCTAGTTGACTGAGTCATATACTGGCAGGGCCTTCTGCTACTGATAAACTGAGTGTATGCTCTCACTCACTTGCTTCAAGCTGGTGGATGCAAGGTCCCGAGGCCTGGTTGCCTTGAGTGTGTTTTTCTTAGTGTATGGATTTTACAGAAAATTCCCTGCCCTGGTGTCCTAGCAAGATATGATCCAATGGCTTAGGAAGTGTTTTGCTTTTAAATCCCAGATCCATCCAGTGACACAGGTCTTAAGTTCAGTCATTTGGAGCTTTGTGTTGTACAGAGAAAATGCAACAGTGATGGCACATGGAGAGTAGGCTGCATTTGTGCATGTGTGTGTGTGTGGTGTGTGTATGTGTATGCATGAGTGCATGTATCTGTGTATGTACGTGGTATGTATGTATGTATGTGTGTGTATAAGTGCATACATCTGTATGTGTGTGTATACATTGGTGTGCTTGTGTGTGCATGAATGTTAGTGCATATATATATGTGTGTGCCTGAATGTGTGTGCTTGTATGTGTGTGCACATGAGAGTGTGTGTGTGTATGAGTGTGTATGCACAGTAGGTATTTTAGCTATCTAGTGCTGCGTGACAAACCACTCCATCATGTAGTGTCTTAAATCAACAACAATTATATCTCTCACGGTTTTGTAGGTCAGGAGTTTGGGGAGGCATGGCTGGGGCCGATAGTCATCGGAAAGCTTGACTGGTTCTGGAGAACCCACTTCCAAGGTAGCTCCCTACATGAATTGGTGTTGGCTGTTGATGGGAGGTGTCTGTGCTTCTCCACATGGGCCCTCCACAGGGCTGCTTGAGTGCTTGACATGGTGGCTGGCTTCCTCCAGAAAGTGTTCCAGGAAACAAAGATGTAAGCCACAATGCCTCTTATGACCTAGCTTCAGAAGTCACACACCATGTTTTTTTTAGATCAGCCTTAACTCAGTGTAGGAGGAGATAATATAGGGGTGTCAAGACCAGGAGACGAGGCCCACTGGTGGCCATCTTGGAGCTGACTACCACAATGTGTGTGTCTATGTATGTGTGTGTATGTGAGTGTGTGTGTATATGCCTGTGTATGTCTAGGTATGTGAGTGTGTGTGCATGTTTGTATGTCTATGTATTGTGTGACTATGTGTGTGTGTGCATGTGCATGTGTGTGTATAGCTATGTGTGTGTGAGTATAGATGTGGGCTGAGATGATGAAGAAGGATAACATGACCAGAAGGGAGGCACACTCCCCAGTCTGGATGTGGGAATGACAGGACTGGTGTGCATGAAGAGGCCAGCAGTGAAATGTCAGCAATAACACAAGGGTCAGCTTCTAGCTTAGATTCATGACAGATGGTAAAGCTTGGAGCCATCTTGGCAGACAGCTTAACACCCCACAATGGTTGTTCTCTGGCAGGGCCTCCGGCAAGCATCTGAGACTCTCCGCCTGAGGCTTTCTCTCAGCCAGTGAGGGACAAGGTGGAAGTGCTGGGGAGTAGTACCCCTGGGAGGAGCCCTCTTCCAGGGGCAGAAGTTGGAGGATAAATACCTCAGCCTTCTTGCCCCTGCAGAGATAACACCGAGGTGTGCTGTACCCAGTGTCTGAGTTATCTTCAATAAGATTGAGCCCCAGTTCTGCAATGGTTTATACGCCCTTTATTGCATACTGCTCCTGTCCCAGATCCACTTCTTCATTGCCCTTCTGGTGTTTTCAGGGATCACTTTGAAGACACCACTTGCCCATGCATTTTTGCCTCAAGGTTGACTTCTGGAGGAACCAACCTAAGAGAGGAGCTCAGGTCCACTGTGCAGGGAAGCTGGGCTTGCCAGGGTGATGTCAAACAGCAGGGCCCACTTCACCTGCACCTACCTCGCTGGCCTTGCCAGCTGCCATATACTAGGAAGGACAGGTGCAGGAATACATCGGGGCCCCGCCACACGTGGCCTTCCCCCTCTGTGTGCTCATAAAGCCCTGGGAACACAGCTGAGCAGTTCTTGTCGAATACCTCTGCCCCATCTGGGGATGTGGCTCTCCATGCTGTTACTCACAGAATCTGTTCACCTCACTTCTCCCACCATCTTGGCCCTTCCACCTCAAAGCACAATGGAAGTGCAGCTGTACTTCCAGGCTGCTTTGTAGCCAGAGTCGGTCAGCCTCACTGGTCCCACGGGCAGCCTGTGGAGAAGGGCATTCACCCCTGAGCCCAGACAGCACCATTGAGCACCTGGAGAGACATGGGTGCTTAAACACCTGGATCTGTTGTTTTCATCTAATCGATAACACCTATGGTTTCGCCAAATTGTATTGCTCCACATCAAATGTCAGCTGAGGTCAGGTAACAGCCTAAAACAGCTGGTTTAGTATCAGTAGTGTCCTGGTCAGCGTGTAAGACTTCAACACGGACTTGCACTGCTGACTCTGATGTCGCCTCAGAGTCAGAATGAACACTCAGGCCAGAGACAGTTATGTTTACTGAGGCCAACAAGAACAGCAAGCAAGACACTGGCCCCTGGGTAAAGCAAACTACTTCTTGTCTCACTGAGATTTGGAGTATTTATTTGCCAGCAGGTGGCACATTTCTATGCAGGGCTGGGGAACCCATATGTGAGGACATCTGGTCCCTGATTCACCTTCACTGGCGACTCAGCCACCTAGGGCAGGTCAGCCCATACAGTACCCTGAATCCCACCCCTCCACCTCCTCCCCAGGGACTTGCTCTTCAGAGAACAAACGGACGACAGAGAGGTGGCTTTGGCAGAACCTCATTCTCTGTCCGGGGCTCACAAGGGATTGTGAAAGAGGAAAAGGAGAAGACAGAGTCTAAAATGTGCCTCCTGAAGCAGAAATGCTCCTTGCCCGACCTTGAGACTGGTTGGGGAGCCAGTCCCACAGGTCTTCCTAGGAGAGCGAGGGGACTCTGAGCCCAGGCGCTAAGTGGAGATTTGGAGAGTGGGAAGTGGCTGAGAGCACACAGGGGAAGGGCCCAGCAGTTGAGAGAGGTCCCTGTGTGCATTTCAGGACAGCCCTCCCATCCCCCAGGGTCCCCCACGCATGGGCGGACAGGCCAGGAGGAGAGGGCTCCCCACAAGGACAGGTCCCCCAACACTAGACCCGCCCAACACCACACGCCCTTCAGGGCCCTGGAGACAGTGTGACCAGCACACCTCCGACAGCAGGGAGGTACCCTCTGAGGCGCACACTGAGCAAGCACACAGCTTAATCTCAGGGAGACAGGAACTAGTGCGCTGCACCCAGGGCCAGCGTCCTGGCTGCCGGTGTTGCTGGCCTCTGTCCCTAGCCCCTTAACAGAGAGACGTCTGCTCCCAAAGGGTCAGGGGACACATCACCCTCTGCTGGGCTGACCCCCAGGAGACTGCCCCCCATGGGAGCTGCCTGGAAACGACTCCAGAGTGGGATGGGGGACCTCTTTGGAAAACCCATGTTGGAATCAGGGCGAGAAGGGGCCCTGCTCTAAGCTGCTTTCTGCTGGTTGAGCCACGTGTATAAGCATGGCCAGAGGTGGGAGCAGACAGGATAGGGGGTGGGGGGGGTCTAGAGGACAGATAAATTTACTCAAAGCCGGGACGAGGCAGGGCAGGGCAGTGTAGGGTCCAGATTCTAAGGGGAGAAGGATCTGCAGCCAGGCCCACCCGGCCAGCAGCGGAAAGGGCCAGGCCTGGCTCTCACCCCGGCCCTACCCGCACTTCACGTTCTGTAGACACCCCTCCCTGGCTGTCTTGGTGGAGAACGAAGTCCAGGAAGCTGTTCTGACACCAGCTTGGTTTGGTTCCCTGAAGCAGACCCAGAACAAGGGCTGGGTGCAGGGTTTTATTTGGGAGACAACCCCAGGAAGCACAATGGGAACATTAGACCGAGAAGGAGGCCACCATCGGGGCAACGTGGTTTATCGTGCTGGGGCGCACTGAGAATCATGTGGGGGCAGGACTGTGATTGGGCATGGGACATTTATCCCCACGATGGAGTCCATCCTCAGGACTTCACCTGTCCCACACCTGCGTGCTGTACCTGCTCTGGCATAGCAGAAGCCCCGGCTGAGTAGGAGGGAGACACAGGTGCTGGGGGCGGGGATTATCAGCTGCAGGTCATGGGTACAACCAGATTCAGGGCACTCAGGGGTGTCGAGTTTCAGGGTTGACAACTCTGGCCCCTGTTCCATAGCCCCCTCCCCGAAACCACCGAACACAAAGCTGCTTCAAATGCTAACGTTTGTTTAATGGTCTATTCTACACAAGGAAACTGCAGAAGTGCTATGTACTTCTACAGCATCCAAGGCCTGGTGAGAGGCCCAGACCCCTGGGATCCAGGAGACCAGCAGCGCGGACCCTCGGCCTTGAGGAGCTGCTGGCAGAGAGTCACTGGGGTCCCAGGAAGAGCAGCCACAGCTCTGTGGTGAGGTCAGGAGTCCGGGACGCCCTCCTCACAGGTGCTGTTCAGCAGATCAAACTTGGTTCTCCAGGGCTGGGTGCTGACGGTGAAGAAGCAGCTGAGCGTCTGTGGGGACATTATGGAGGACCCGGGGGGATGAGACTTTGAGAGCCATAGTCGAGCTCTGAACAAATGGCGTGTCCCCGCGTCCATCTGCAACACGGCTATGCTAGGCGCCAGCACCCCAGGGATGCAGCCCTGGCCCTTAGATGAGGCCCCTGGAGTGCTGGGACTTCCCGCCCTCAGCATGACCTGAGTCTCTTGGTTGTGTGTTCTTTCACTCCCTCCCCAGGTCTGTGGCCTCCAGGGCACCCCCAGAGCAGCCACAGAGTCCTAGGATCCAGAGGGTGCTGCTCAGAGAGCAAGGACTCTTCGATGAGGCTAGACCCAGTTCCGGGGTCACCTCTGCTTACCACCCAGGCTGCCCAGCTCCCATCCCAGGACTGGGCACTGCAGCTCAGCAGGCCCAGGGCTGTGGCTGCTAGGGTAGGGCAGGGGACCCTCCTCAGCTCCAGCCCTCAGACCTGGGTGAGTGGGTAGGGAGACCTGAGACGGCCTCCTCGGGCAAATGCCGTATCTCAGCAGGGACCAGGTCACCTTCCCCCTGGAAGCAGGGAAGAGAGTGTTTGTGGGGGGGAGACCAAGAAGGGAGGGCCACACCCTCTACTCGGTGGCCCCAGAGCCCAGGACCGATCAGGCAGCAGCAGTTTGAATGCCCATGTGGGCAGGGCTGAGTGGGACCACAGGTGGCGTGGTGGTGCTGCTCTCACCCATTTTCTCCGTCCTTGGAATCCTTTTGTCATCTGTTCCCCATGCCCCTCAGCCCCAAGCATGCAGCGTACACAGCTGTGCAAAAAAATGATGGAAGGTCACTCCGTGCCTCCCATTGCTCACCTCTGGGCTTTCCTGGAAGGGGCAGTTGTCAATGTCCTCTTCAAATTTCCCACACCTGGTCTGGCGCAGCTCCAGCTCCATGGAGAAAGCCAGCATGGAATCCAACTATGGGCCAGACAACAGACAGACAGACTTGACAGTGGAGACGCCCTCTCGGCTCCCTCAGACTGCTGCTAGTGTACGTGTGTTCAGTGTAGGAGAAGCCCAGCTCACTCAGTTAGGAGCTCACCCAGGGCTGGGGCTCTGTCCCTGGAGGTCAAGGCAGGTGGAGCCTCCTCCAGTCAAAGAGGTAAGGACAGAGAGGCAGGCTGGTGTTGGGGATGGGGGAAGACACAGGCCGAGTCCCACCTCACAATGTCATGCAGCCTCTCCCCCATGGAGATCCCTCCCTCACTGCCCCAAGCATCTGAAGTTAGAGGCACCCCCAGAGCATGAGCGGCTGCTGCCAGTGCTCTCCTGCCTGCCTGGAGGGATCAGCTGTCCAGGAGTTTGTTGGCAATGTGGACTGAGAGAGGGAGTCTTGTCGGCAGCCATGTTGTCAAACCTTCCACCTGCACCAACAGCAAGAATACTTCCTACAAAGCTACCTGGTACACATGTAAACAAACACACATATGCACTCACACACATACACGTGCATGTGCAGGCAAGCACATACACACACCCTCACACACAGGGAACAATGGTTTCAAGAAACAACATTTGTCCCAACTGTACTCTGAAATTATCTTTACTTTGCATCCTCAACTGTACGGGGGCTGTGAGTGAGAGCTAGGACACCCGATCCAGGCTGCCTCCAAAGAGCTTTGGCCTCAGAGACACTTTGAGTGCTGAGGACCATTTCCTTAGAGGCCTGGTCTTCTCCCTCTGTTGGAGGGAAGAGGGTAAGGTGGTCCTCTGCCTTCCTTTCAGGTGCTGGGTACAGAAGCCAGGAAAGGAATGCCCATTTGTCACACTCACAGAAGTGTCCTTTAGGAGAGGACTCTCCCGCAGATGCCCAAGTCCAAGCTCAGAGGAAAAGCACCTTCCTGGGCACTGCCATGCTGCATGATTCCATTTAAAAGGAGAACATGTTGGGATTAAGTACAGTGATCTGGGACTAGAGAAAAACAACATATAATCCACTGATGAAGACATAGTAGGTGAAGACCACACCAGACCAGGAACTCTGAGCAAGAGGGGGTTGGAGATGAGGAGCTGACTCACAGCATCTCTCTCATTTTATTTCCTTGAAACATCTTCTAGTCTGTCTCTGTAGGTACTTTCTGTCAGGCTGGTTCCCTTACCTAGTGTCCTCATCTACTTATTGGTCCATATTTTGAAGCCATTGTTCAGATAAATAATGTTACAAAATTGATGAAGACTGAAAAATCTATCCTGCATGTGAATAAAATATTGACAGAATTTTTAAAAACCTTCTAAGTTAAATCTTTCATAAAAAGTGAAACTGAACTAAGGTGTATGTTATTTGAGTATGGACTTCAAATGGAGAACGAAGGTACCGTGATAAGACCCTCCCTTGTCCCTAATTTAACAGCAAATGCAGGAGGGCAGGGCAGGAGCGAAGCCATTCACCCACCTTTTCCTTCCAGGCCCTCAGGATGCGAACCAGCCTGTAGGCGTGAGTGTCCCTGCTCTGCAGGTTGAAGGAGTGCAAGGCATACTCCACGGTGGCTGGGAAGTACTCAGCCATGATGTTTTGGTCAGCGAGGTCATTTCCCTCTGTGGTAAGCCATGCGTGAGTCACCAGGAGCAGGAAGCCCAAGAGGAGCAGGAGCACCCAGCGAGGCCGAGCCCATCTCCGAGGCCATCGGGACATGGCTGCGTTGACCGGCTCCCACAGCCTCCGCCTGCACAGCTCCGGCTCCCACGTAGCCTGCCTGGGCACGGGTCCAGGGTTCACACTGTATCCTCTAGAATGCCTCCACCCACCAGGACTCCTTTCTGCCATGCCAACTTGCCCTTTCATAAACGTCAACCCTCATACTCCACCCAAAGCTGATTAGGTCTCCTGTCCATGGGGAAGGGACAGCAGCAGGTGGTGTGGGCTGGGAAGGACCAGCTTGGGAGGGGTGGGTCACCTGGGATTCATGCCAGCCACAACCCCTCCCTCAGAGCCTCGGTGGTGGGAGGGGTCTTTGACTTGGATGCCCCCGAATCTGACCCTGAGAGGAAGAGACAAGTGGGAGAGATGTATGTGGACATGCCTCCTGGGGGCACCAGCAGGACCAGCCCACAAGCAAGGACAGAGGCAAAGTGTTGGGTTGGGGAGAGCTAACTCTGTGGGTGAATAGAAGGCAAACCTGCAAGGGGGCTCTGTGGAAAGACCCCAACCCTTGCCTTTGGATTTCCAGCTCCAGCGGGAGGGCACTGGAGGCTGTGGGAAGGCTGGCCATGGGCATTATTGCCCAGCACTTTTTCCAGTACTCCAGCAGGACCACCTCCTGGCAGAGAAGAGACTCGAGGAAGGACACATAGGTGCTGGCTGTTGAGGCAGCCACGTGGGGAGGTGCTCGGGCACGCAGCACCTGCCACAACACAGACATGGGGAAGGGCTTCAGCAAAGCCAGAGAACAGCCACAGGATGTCACAAGCCAGGGCAAATAAGGACAGAGTGGGAGAGGCAGAGACATGCCATGTGTTGGCAAAAGTTAGACAGTCAAGCGGCCAGACAGAGCTCAAGATGGTGGCTCGAGGGTGGCCATGAAGGATACCCTATTCGGGCCGTGAACCCAGTGCACTCCATATGCCCTCACCTTCAAGGCTGCATAACAGAGTGGAGAGCATGGAGGGTAGGGGGGTTCCTGAGCTGTAGGGGTGAGGAAAGTGGGCAGAGGGGACAGCCTGGGAGGGACCTAAGTGGTAGGGGTGAGGAAAGGGGACAGAGGGGAGAGGCTGGGGGTCCTGAGCCTTGGGGATGAGGAAAGGCGGCACAGGGGAGAGCCTGGGGCTACCTGAGCTGTGGGGATAGGGAAAGGGAGCAGAGGGGAGAGCCTGGGGGCTGGTCCTGAGCCGTGTGTGTGAGGAAAGGGGGCAGAGGGGAGAGACTACTAGTTTATTGCATTATAAACTGAATATGCTTTAGAGGAATTTATACTTGATGTTGCATGGAGGGTTCTTCTACAGGTGTATATTGAGTTGTACATGTTAATTTTATTTTACATAACAAGTATATTTTCACTAATTTTAGCGTGTCTGATGTGAGTTCCTGAGCTGTATATAAGAAACTCCCAACACGAATTTGGAATTGCCAAAGCACATGGAACATTCTCCAGAATAGACCACATATTAAGCCATAAAGCAAACCTTAACAAAATCCAAAGCATCAAAATGACCATAAAGCCATAACAGTAGAAATTGACAACAGAAAAACAAGGAAAAAAAATCGAACACATGGAAACTGAACAACACCTTGCTCAAAAACTACTGGGTTATAGAAGAAATTAAGGATGGAATTAAGAAATTCATAGAATCAAATGAGAATTAAAACACTCCCTACCAGAAACTTTGGGACACAGCAAAAGCAGTGCTCAGAGGTCAGTTTATAGCAATAAATGCACACATCCAAAAAGAAGAAAGGGCCATAATCAAAACATTAACCCTATAACTGGAACAAGTAGAAAGGGAGCAGCAAAAGAAGCCCTCAGGTGCCAGAAGAAAGGAAATAATAAGAATTAGAGTAGAATTAAATGAAATAGAGAATAGAAAAACAATTGAAAGAGTCAACAAGACCAAAAGCTGGTTCTTTGAAAAGATCAACAAAATTGATAAACCATTGGCCAAACTGACTGAAGAAAAACAGGAGAGGAAGCAGATAACCCCTATAAGAAATGAGATGCGTGATATCACAACAGACCCGACTGAAATTAAAAGAATCATAAGAGACTACTATGAAAAATTATACTCTAATAAATTTGAAAACCTAGAGGAAATGGACAAATTTCTAATGTTTGGTGTAGAGTCCCCAGACTGCAGGAGAGTCTGTGTGTGTTGTGGGGACTCCACTGCAGGGCCATGGACCCTGTGAAAGCCCATCGTGCGGGCTCAGATGGTGCCAGGGCTTAACAAATGTCTCTGCGCTTGACAATACTGGGGAGAGCTGGAGCCCAGGACTCTGCTCTGCCTGTACTCTGCTAGACTCATTGTCTGTTGGATGATGACAAAATGGATGATAAAAATGACTACTTTTGTGTGTGTTTTTGTTTTTTGTTTTTTTCTTTAGCCCACAAAGAGTCTGACTGTTATGCTAGAAACAGGAAAGGAACAAACTGATACTTGAGTTCTTCTTCTGAACCATGGAGATCCATGGAAACTGGAAGAGAGAATGAGAGTCAAGACTCTGACAGGTCTTATCTAGGCTGGGGGAGGTGGAGGTGCAGAATTGTGCATAGATGTCAGGAACATGACTGGGGCCATGTGGAGGAGACACCCAGAGAAAAAATATGCAAGAGAAGCAGCTGTTATAACTCTTGGGAGGTGATAGCTTTGCAACTGAGTTTCAACCATGTCTGCATGCCATGTAAGTCCAAATCTATTTAGTTCAAAGAATTTAAGTTTTTGATACATATTTAACTTGTTTTTAGCTGCCATCAAATTGGCCCCCCACTCACACAACCTCATGCATAAAGGAACGAAATGCTGCTCAGTCCTACGCCAACCCCATGACTGGTTGTAGACCAGACTGTTGTGGTCCATAGAGTTTTCATTGGCTGATTTTTTTGGAAGTACATCACCAGGCTTTTCTTTCTAGTCTATTTTAGTCTGGAAGCTCTACTGAAACCAGTTCAGCATCATAGCAACATAGAAGCCTCCACGGACAGACAGGTAGTGGCTACATATGAAGTGCATGGACCAGGAAATGAACCCAGGTCTCCTGCACAGAAGGCCAGAATTCTACCACTGAACTACTAATGCCCTCTATATTTAACTTAACTTACTAAATAATAATAATTATATACATATATAAACCAACCAAACCCATTGCCGTCAAGTCGATTCTGACTCATAGCGACCCTATAGGACAGAATAGAACTGCCCCATAGAGTTTCCAAGGAGTGGCTGGTGGATTTGAACTGCTGACCTTTTGGTTAGCAGCCAAGCTGTTAACCACTGTGCCACCAGGACCCCCTATATATATGTTATCTACTGCTGTGAAACAAATTATTCCAAAATTTAGTGGTTTAAAACAATCTTTATTGTGCTAAGGTTATTGTGGTTCAGGAATTCAAGTGTAGCTTAGCTAGGTAGATTTTTTTCAGGGTTTCTTATGATGTTGGGGTCAAGATGTCATCTGAGGCTGCAGTTACACCTGAAGACTTGACTGAGGCTGGAGGATCACTTCAAAAATGGTTCATTCACATGGCTGTCGGCTAGAGGCCTTAGTTTCTCACTGGTTGTTGTCCGGAACAACATGTGGTCCTCCTACATAGATCTGCTCAACATGGTAGCTGCCTAAAAACAAAGCAGGTGATCCAAGAAAGAGCAAGAGAGGAAGCAAGGAGCCACAGTGCCTTTCATGACCTACTCACTGAAGTTGTATATGGTTACCTCCACTTTATTTATTAGAACAATTCATTAAGTCCAGCCCACATGCCAGGGGAAAGGAATTAGGCTCTACTGCTTGAAAAAAAGTATCGAAGACTTTGTGGACCTGTCATTTAACTACTGCATATTTAAATAGAAAAAATGTATTAAGATTGTAAAATAAAAACATTACAATATGTTTCAAATGCTAATTAAAAGCTATTAATGAAGAGGTGGACAGAAAACTGAGAAGAAGAAGAAAATGAAGAAAGGAAAAAGTTGGAGAGACAGAAAGCAAAGTTGGATATTGAGAAAGCTATACAACGAAATGTCAGATAAGAGAAGAGTCAAAGGAAAGAAAAGAGAAATGGAAGTTGAAAAAAAGAACAAAGTTCTAGGAGGTGGCCCTCTGTCTTCTGCTGAGACTTCGTCTTCTCCAAAAGCAAGCACCTATGTGGGGCTGCTTCCCCTCAGGGATGAGCTGCATCGGAGTCCAGACAGAGTGTTGGGGAATGTGATAGAAAGGGTTGTGTGTATGCAAATGTGTGTGCAAGTGCATACAGACATATACACATTTGGGAGATAGTAGAGATTGGTGAGTGTAGATGTTGGTTGTATCCCAGGAAAGGGTAATAAGCATATTAAGAGTGATTGGTATAAGGTGCGGTGTGATGGAACGCTTTTGTGTGGGCTTTCTCACCATGGTCTTATAACTACTGCCAAAATGATTGGGCAGGACTGTGCAGATAGGGTAATCATGGCCTAGTGAGAAGATTTGTCAGTTTTGCCATCCCTCTGGGCTTCAGGTGAGCCATTTGAGAGGCGAGAGGCGTGAGGGAGAGGATCCTACCCCCACCAAGGAAGAATAGCCAGGAGCAGAGAGTGCATCCTTCGGACCCCAGATCCCTGTGCAGAGAAGTTCCTGGAACGAGGAGATTGAGAGAGAAAGAGAGAGAGCTGTAACCCTGAAGATGGTGAGAAGTGGTGGAAAGCGGTGGCAGGAGAGACGTGCTGGAGACTGAGAAGTGGGTTTCCTGGACCACAGAGTGAGAAAACTGAATGCCTGGGGTGCCACTGGGGACTTATTTGCAGGGGCTAAAAGAGCTTTGTAACACTTGCCTAAGCAGGGCAGAGGCCTACGGCCAGAGAGTCATGCCTTCAAGCACGGCTAGGAAGAGGCTGCCCTGATGGAAGAACTTTACCCTGAGTATTTCTGAACCTGAATTGTAACCTTTTACTTCCCTAAAAAAACCCCATAATCGTGAGTATGGTCTGTGAGTTCTGTGTGGCTATTGCAATGAGTTATTAAAGCCAGCAGAGAAGTAGAGAGGGCTGTGGGAGGGACGGTTGATGTCAGAATTGGTAAAGATGGTGGAGAGGTGAGGCATGTCTGACCTCCACCTCACAGGAATCAGCCTTGCGCTGTTGATCTTGATTCTCCTTCCCACATGTAAAGTTAGAGAAGGTCAGACACTGACCCCATGCCATTTTTACATCAGGAATCACTGACAGAATTTAAATATGGAATTCCTCACGGACCAGGAGTTAGGTCATAATTTGTGAAAAACATGCGGGTGATAATTGAATGGTATATTTAGTTTCCTAGGGCTTCCGTAACAGAGCACCACAAAGTGGGTGGCTTAAAATGGCAGAAATTTATTGTCTCAAAGTTCTGGAGGATAGAAGTTCAAATTCAAGGTGTCTGTAGGGGACATGCTGTCTCCAAAGTCCCTAGGGCAAGATATTTTCTTGTCTGTCCTGTCTTCTGGCAGCCCCAAGCGTTCCTTGGCTTGCCTGTTACAGTATAACTCCAATCTCTGCCTCGGTCTTCACATGACCATCTTCCCTTTATGTACTCATTGGATCAGGACCTACCTACTCTAGTACTACCTCGTGTTAACTGATAACATCTTCGAAGACCCTATTTCAAACAAGTATCAAGGATTAGGACTTCAGCATAGCATTTTGTGGGGGCACAATTCAATCCACAAGTAGTATTCAGGAAAATACATTTAGCACATTGCCAGATATTAGGCATGTGGTTTGAACTCTGAATTGAGAAGAGGTCTGCATAGAAAACTAGAGTCTCAGAAAGGGGGGCCGAGGGATGCTCCCCTAAGAATCTCTAAGAGTATGTCCTTGGGAGGCAGAAAAGTGTGTTCTAACCACAGTCCCGTGCTGCAGTCTCACTCAGACCCCTCAGTCCCATGGCCCCTGAACAGACCAGAGGCATGTTACACATTCTGAGCAGCCTTCCTGCCCCTGGGCGATTTAGCTGCTTTGCTCTCTGTCTGTGGTTCTTACTGATCTTCCTCTCCTTATTCTGTAGGGTTCAGGAGGTGGTTTAGCTTCTTCTTATGCTCTCTATCATTCTCATGCCTTTTCTCTGGTTTCAAGGGAAGCTTTTCTGTTACTAGGTCAGATGCCCTACTTCAC